GAAAGAAGCGTATTTAGACCTCACTAGTGCTATTAGAGTTGGGGAGATGAACACACGGCTCTCCAGGCAACACACGCACACAGACACACACACTTAGTCTCCACCCCCCCAGAGCTTCATTAGCAGGTCATTAAAAACAACTTCAGTGAAAGCTGTTGTTCTTTGAGGAACAGTTTTGCCTCATTGGAAAGACTCCATGTGTGTGTCATACGGATGACCATGTAGTCTTGTTGCTAAAACATAACCAAGTAGTTTTGTCATATCATATGAAATTCAACTTTTCCTAGTTTACTTCTCCCCTTCGGAGGAAGGAAAACTTTCATTGTGTCAGCTGCCAGAGTTTTCAGACACAGAATGCACACTGGTCTCTTCTCATCTCCCACCGAAGTCACTCTGAACCCGAGAGCAAGATTAATTACCGTCAGCTGAGCGTGTTGTCTCGTCCGCCTGTGACGCATCGTCGGTTTGTCTTTTCGTCCCCCTCAAATATCCGTCTGAATGAACACCACGGCCATCGTGATACATGTATACTCTTCCGCCGTGAAAACATTAGTTACGCATGACATCCCCCCCCGATCACGAGCGCCCCACACTTTGGGAACTACTGTTTCAGACTTCATAGAGATGTCAGATACTAGGCTCGTCCGTGTGGCGTCCCATTTCTTTTTAAGTTTGTTGCTGGAGGAGCTGATAGCAGCTCGGCCCAGCAAGCGTGGGGTTCTTGTGATTTGCAGGTGAAGCGACATGCGGGTATCTCCTAAAACTGGGCTGACATACATGCAGAGAACAAGTTGCACTGTATAATGAAATGCAGAGCTTGCTGTCCTCTCTGATGGAAATCTACAGAACCAAAATACTAAAAGGAAGAGTCTGTTGTGCAGGAGTAGAGTCCACTACAAAGGGAATACGTTGGTACAAACGCTTATTCACTTTCTTGTAGAGAGTTAGATGAGAAGATCGATACCACACTCATGTCTATACGATAAATATGAAGCTACCTCCAGATGCCAGTTAGCTTAGCTTAGCACAAAGACTGGAAGCAGGGGGAAACAGCTAGCCTGACTCTGTCCACAGGTTACAAAACAGGCCTACCAGGACCCCTAAAGCTCAGTTATTAAACACCTTATGTCTTGGTTGGACAATCTGTCCAAAGACGACACATTGTGGACATGTTTCTTTGCAAAAGCTGTTAAAAAATTAACGTTTTTGACAAACAAAAAGCCTTTGCAATGAAACAGCCAGTTCCTGTTCTGACCTGCACAAACTGTGGAAACATGACTTCATCGCTGAAGTGTGACACGACTTGAATATACACTTTCTGCGTGCATTACATCACGTATACGTTTGGTGCTGACAGAGCTTCGGCAGAGACAGCTGGGGAGTGATGGAGGGAGATGTGGAGCAGCCGGGAGCCGGCAGAGGAGCAACCGCAACTGCTGTCTGCTGCTGATTTCCTCCTGCGAGAAATCCCGAATCTCAATCCTTTTTCGCTCTCGTTAACGCCGCCGTGCAGGGACAGATTCATCACATTAAGCACAGACCCCTTCACTTAATGCCCTCCTAAAACTGCTCCTGCCCTAAACCAACATGGCTGCCGGCTGGCACTGCCAATACCGGTGCCCTTTTATATTCTCCAATTTGGTCCCCGTCCAGCTTTCCACTCTGATTGCATCTCTCCCTGTTAGGGCCTTGGGTTTGGGAGGAGAGAGAGAGCGATGGAGGGGAAGGGCGCCAATACAAACATTGTTCCGCTGGCTTTTTACAAGCCAGGAGAGCGGGGAAGTTAATAAGCAGGTATTGGTTTTTAACTGCGGCCCGTTTTATTGCTTTGCCCTCGAGCGTGCTGGAGTGCTCTACTCCACCTTTTTCCCCCGTCCATCTGCCCGTCATTCCGCTAACCTCCCGTTCAATTTTCTCCCTCTCGCTGTCAGCTCTGCCTTTTGTCTCGCCTCGCCCAGCAATTAATTCACCGTCCTCACCGTGCGCTTTTTTTTTTTGGTTGTTGTCCGCCTCTAGCCGACACCTTCCCCTCACCTTTCTCTAAATTCTAAGCTGAGGTAGAGACAGTTTGAAAGATTATAAACCACTTACTGATCTGTCATTATGCCAGTATTGATTCTTGTGTTTTTGCAAGTGTGCGTTTGAGAGTGTACTGTATTAATTGGTCACGTGCCGGTATGTTAGGTTTAAACCACATCCGTCTGTCAATACTGGATGTTTATTGAAAATCGGATGTCAGCCAGACACTGTTTTCCAGCAGTGACATGATGAATATGATGCAGGTTTAATTACGTACATATTGTGCTGCTGATCAATGTCGTCTGGGTTATAATGGACAGTTTTAATTTTCCCTGCTCTCTGAAGCTCTTCTGCACTGCCAAGAGCAGTTTACTGGAGGCTGAGATCTCCAGTACTCCCAGTGAAGCATTTAATCTCGCAGCCAGGACCTGAAGTTTCTCACTTTGTAGTTTCATCTTTTAATCCTCATGCCTAACTAGGGACATTTAAGGTTCTTTCATTTTTTATTTTTTCAATCATTTTGGCTCAGTTTTTGGCGAGGGTGTGAGTTTTTTTTCCTCTCAGCTCCAGTAATGAATCTATAATAAACTGTGTCGCCAAAATAGAGACTCTATGGACCAAAATGTCCCCATAGAAATCCATCAAAACCACAATCTTTGATCCAGCGGCCATTACAGCATGAAGTCATGCATTCTGGTCATTCTGGTCTTCATTGATTTGGATTTATTTGATCGATTAGTTGTTTTTTATGTTGTACCTATGGGCACAACTCTGATAAACAAAAAAAATGAAGTGGTGTTTACGTGTGATTCTTTTAGTTGTCAAAATCGTAGGAGTGATAATCAACTAAGAATTCATGTAAACAAACATTTAAAGGGCTAAAACTGAAGATCTATGAATATTTGGTAGTTCCGGACTGACGTTGGTTAAAAGATGTATTTTATCTAATACTATATCAGTCTTTTGACGCAGACATTTTGTCCTATCAGCGCGACGTTTTTAAAGAGATGCACAAGGGTTAAATCATATTCTAGGATTACAGCAGCAACCTTGGGGCCGTGCCTTTCATAATAAAAACAGACGCTGTGATTGGCGGGGCTCGTTGGCGCCTGTCTGAGAGCAAGATATGAAGATCAAAATATTCTAAAATGAATGAATGAATTCAAATTTAATTAATCTTGTTGAAGGTTGAAGAACCCTTGACTTTATTCTGCCCCCCCCCTCCACTTCTGAAACCAAACTAATGCCCTCGCAGGCATCTGCAATCCAAACGTGGTGATATTTGACTTCAAAAGGCCCCGAACACAAGCAGCAGATAGAGAAGCTGGGGAGCAGGAGGGATGACCAGACGGAACAGAGGGAAGGAGATTGTTGTGGTGTAGAAGAAGGCGATTTCATGTTCCTATAATCCTGAAACTGCTGCAGTAAGTGTCCTCCCCAGGGCTGTTTCACACCTCCAACAAAGGGATAAGTGACTAACCCTCACGGCGCAGGAAAACAGACCAAATTTAAACATACTTATTCCACGAGCAATTAACAAGGTGGCTCTGTGTAAAAACAACAAGCTTGACTCTGAGTCGGGAACCCGAGCACAAATCCCGCTCACAGCTCTTGTGGGATTCGCAGCATCCACCTCGTCCTGCCCAGGAGGGCCGTCACTCAACCGGCACTCAACTGATGGGATTCCAGTTTAGCCGGTGCAGCCAGGAGGAGAGGCGGGAGAGGCGGCCAACAGCCCGAGCAGAAGGGATCTGGGGGCTTCTAAATATCCACCCAGGGCTAAAAGAGCGAGCGCGCTCCAGCCCACTTCCTCTATCGCTCCCCTGGGCCTCAGCAGGGAACAATAGTGGAGAATGGACCAGACAGCATGAAAGAAAAAAGCATTGCTACAGCATCAACACACACACACACACGTTTATAGCCAAAGCTCATGCACGGGTTTCAAGATGTGCAGAAACTAGGTGCAAGCACGTAAACACACACTTTTTAAAGAGTTTTTGTCCTCAAGTGGCGCTGTAGAGTCTTGATTATTAAAACTATAAAACAAAATAATTATTTCACCACAATATGATTCCACTGATAACAGAAACACATTTCGCTACTACAGCTAATAACATTCTAGCTCCTATAATAATGTTTTTAGGAGATTCTTTCTTTGGCTGAACACAAACCTGCTCGCTCGGCCTGCACATCAAATTATCCGATGTGTTGATGAGGTGTGACCACAACGGTCAAATCAAAAGGACTATTTAACCGCCCCTTGGTTTCCAATTCCACATATCACCAATTGATGGTAAAAGGGGGCAATGTAGACGAAGCAGGTCAGTTAGGAAACACATTCAGCATGTTTGTTCGGCCTCAAGGACACAAACGATATGTTTTCACTTTAAGGGAAAGCAAAAACATTAACGATGGCTCTTTTGCAAAGAGTCCTAAAACCCGGCAATGAGTCAGCAATTCTTGCACTTCCTGTTCCATCGTCTTGAAGTCAATGTTTTATTTAATGTGTTTTTAAAATACGTCAGTAAACACCCCTCTGGTGTATTTTGAAGCTTATACGTGTCTTAATAAAAGGCTAAATGAAGTGTTGAAAACGTCACTAGTCCTTCCTCTCATGTGACCAGCAGGCAAAACACCGGCAACCTGAAACTGAAGCAACTAAATGGAATCCAGCCATCACTCATTTTAATAACATCTCCAGTGATACAATGGACTCTTCACTATCATCTCAGTTCTTTGCGCTGTGTTTCACAAACCAACACAGTCAGTCGCTCACCTGCTCAGACTCTGAGGCACTTTGCCCCTCGCATGCTTGCAAATGCACTGTGGCAGCAGTGCATCCCACTGATGTTCGTACCAACTAGTGTATTCACACACACACACACACACACAGGTCGGGGCGGGGCCGCCTCAGGGTGCTGCTGTAAGTGTGTGATTAGAACAGAAAGTAGGCAGAGGAAGAATCCAGGACACGCACTCACCCCTGTTAAGGTCTTTATGTTATGCAGTGCATTCTGGGCTTCAAGGGCAGCTTTCCTTGTGTAAAACGTGACAAAACAGCAGCCTGGGGAGAGAAAGAGAGACACAGAGAGAGAGAGAGAGAGAGAGAGAGAGAGGGGTGATGAGCAGGAGGAGCAACAAAGAGCAGTTTCTCTATTCATCTCCTTGTCATCACCTGTCGACACTGGCAGACGCTGAGTGAATGTTAAGGACGAGACATCAGAGCGGAGAGAAAAGCTTCTTTTGGATTTGTTTCAGTGCTGATGACTTGAGGAAGTGAGCGTGCAAACAATGCAGAGACACAGAAGGGTTGGCTCTTCATTAATCTGCTGCAGTAATCTGTGCTTACTCACTCATTCACTGACGAAAGTATTTAGTCATTTGTGTGTCTCTCACGCTGCCTCGCTCATTCGCTCACTGGTTCACACCCACGAGGGTTATTCAGCCACCTCGCCAACTCAAAGGACTGAGGCGGTTTTCTTCATGTGATGAATTCGCACATCAAAAACATTTTAGACATTTTATCATGAATACTTTCACATATTATATGGCGATAAAAATGTTTTTTTTCCAGAACGTGGTGTATTTTCCTGAGCATCAACCGATAAAAACGTAAAACATAAATAACAGAGGCTCCGCAGTCCCAAACCTATATTATAATAAACTTTAATTTCTCTTTTCAATCTTGACAAATGCAGCGCAGAGCAGATCCACGCCTTACCTTCTTACCTTTCACAATAAAAGCACTAGACATATACACTGTGTAACTGTTTACCTGAGAAAAAAGTCACTGAGAGCATTTCGCAAAAAAGGAAATTCAATAAAATAGCTTGCAGCAGCTTAGGCTATGCAACAGTCATTTGTGCAACTGTCGCAAATTCACATCGCCGCACATTGTTGTTTCAACAGCATTTTAAATACAAAGTACAGTCTGATTATCAGGCCACTTAAAAAAGAAAAAAGGTATTTTTCCTGTGGTTTAAACATCCTTGAAAACCTTAAAATGACCAAGCAAAAGCTCACCAAGTTGCCTCCTCACTCACATACACCGTAAGTGCACTTAAACACGTGTGCACACACAAACACAGCGAAGGAAAGGATTAATCTGTGTGTAATCCCTGCACAGTGGGACGGTCGTGGGTCACTCCCAAGTCAGCCCGTAAACCTGCAGAGTCAGGCAAAAAAACCCAGCAGGAGGATATTCAGGGCCAGACACAGAGGTGTGACTCTTCACTTCTTCCTCGTATGAAGAGCCGCTGTCGGAAAAACATTTGTAAAAATCACGGCCTTAGTCTGTATTTGTGTCCTTGTGACTGAGACTACAAGACTGAGGAGGACGGAAGGATGAAGACTGTTTGAGACAACCGTAAGATAATATTCAGAGAGAAAATTAAAAATGTCCTAAATTAAAGTCGTAAATTTGGAAGAAAAAAAATGTGGATTTTCTCTGAGATCAAAGCGGTGAAATTCATAAATTTACAAAAGAAAACTCAAACATTCTCTGAGATTATAAAGTCATACATTTCTTTTTATTACAGTCTGAATATTTGTGGTATTACAAAATACTCTAAATGTCTCTAACTTTAAAAAGTGAAATGATTAATTTTGTGTCACAGATGTCCTCAAATTGAATGTTTTAGACATTTTCAGGAATTATTTACAAAATGTTTTTTATCCAGGATCCCAAAATCTATTTACCCTATCACAACTTATTCTGTTAAACCTGATGCAGTCATCAAATAATAAATAATCCCAGAGAATCTTTACTTCTCAGAATTATTACTATTTTGTGCCTACAATGTGCCCAACACGTCATCGTATATAGTTGCATTTGAACATAAACGCATCATGTAAGCAAACATTCTGGATAAAGATCCTTCAACTCAAGTTGTTAAGTAATGTGACTAAGACACTGTGTGCACTTATTGTGCTCCAGTTGAAATGAACTGGTTGATCAAACTATGTAATGGAGACTAAACAGCCCACTTTGAGACAGTGGTATAAACAAATCAAGTGCAACCAGCTAAGCATTCATATTTTATATTATTTACAATCAGTCCTTGTTGACTTGGTTAATAAGGTTCATTCATCATCCTCGGGTGAGCCACCGGTTCTGTGCAGATTTAAGCTGCTTCTTCTTCCCTCCAGCTGCTGCAGGTGCATATGTTTGGACCTTCTGCCTCCGGCGCCGCTCATCTGTTCAATTCGTCGTGTATTTATTTGTCCAGAAACGAGCCGAGTGCACCATTGTTTACATCTGCTTTGTTGGCTTCTCCGTTGTGTTTACGGCATAAATCAAGCTCTGCGGTGGTTCCGCTGCCCACATTGCACACACACGCCGGCCCTTGTGACACCTGCCCTGCGGTGCATCTTATTGAAATCCAGCAGTGAGCATCTGGAGCGGATTTGGCATCCGAATCCCACGGTCCCTTTGATGGGGCCGGGAGCGTAATGGATCTGAATTCCTGCGGTGTCCTGTGGGTGCCACGGCTGCTGAAGAGTTGGCCCTTAGCCTAGCGTCGGCGACGTGATCGGTGTTGAGATTCAGCTGCTGCGCCGCCCGTGTGTTAGTTACTCCCGGCTTAAGGTTCTCTTCTACGAACCCCAGCGTGAAAAGGCAGCTCCGGGTGTCACTTCGCTAAACCCTCAGCCCGCCACTTCTACTATCAGTTTTCATTTAGCACCGAGGGTTTCACACCAGCTTCTACGAGTTAAAGGCACGGAGATAAGAGGGGGAATTAGTCACGACTGACAGACGATCACTGGGTGAAAAAATTCATACAATTTATTCCATGTAGGTCACCAAAGTGATATGGCTTTTACACGGAAAAAACTTAAAGTGGTGGCTTCCACTTAGTGTAGATCTCTGGCAGTTCAGCTTTGTCTTTTCTTTTCATTATCACGATGAAACCTGGACTCACTGAGGTGAAAGTTGATGAAGTAGTACTAATATTCTTGAGTTAAAGCACTAACACTAATATGGACAATTTCAGGTGAAGTCACAAAGCTAAATAAATATTAGCACACGTAAGAATCAAAAGTAAAAGTGTTATTAAAGTGGAAATCATTTCCAATGAAAGTTGAGAAAACAAATAAAATGGAAATCCTCAGCTGAGAAACACAACGGGACCACATGATGAAGGCTTACCTCGTCAAATCTCAAATTAGATAACAATACCAGAGAAAATGGTCCTAGTTGTGGCTTGAAATCTACCCACTGAAGCAGCATATCATACAAACACTAAATTTAAATCCTCATTACTGGCTAATTACTGTGGACTTCTGCTCACCTCGACGCTGAGCTGAGCTCCGTTTGGAGTGATGTGAGGTCACGTGAGGTCACTATGAAGTACACGAACAACGCTCATTAACAGCAGAGACTAGTAAACACATATTTGGCCTTTTGTGGCTGAACACAAAGGGCGCAGGTACTGAACCGTCTCTGCCAACGCTGGGAAGTTTACCGCGGCATCTCTACGACAAAGACAACACTTCCTACCTGCCAAGTCGTAAGCTCTCCATGTTAAATAACAAAGAGGCACGCTGGCGCCGCTGAACGGAGCACGGCTAATAAAAACCTGCAGAAAAGCTGTTCCGCTCTAACAGGTGAAACAGAACCGAGAGGATAGTAATGACAACACCTGTGCAGGTGTACCGTGGCTTTATGTCAGAGTTTTATAGAACCAGAGACCCAGTTTAAGTCCTGCTTCCTTGTGTTAATTAACTGTATGTAAAATATATATATTGCATCAAATCCATGTCTTTCTCTTCCCGCAAAATGCTTTCAAACGTTGGATGACTTTACAAAATTTCATCCAATCAAGCCTGTACTAGCCTGCATCATGGTTCAATGTGAGGCTTCCTGCATGCATGGTGCAGAGTGAATGCTATGTGAACACACAGTCAGTCTTTTAGCATCGCTTCAGTATTGCGCACTATAATTCCTTATAATTCAAGCTCCGGCCACCAACGGCACCGCATGAGTCTCGGCTGATAGACCCGCGCACCCTGAATTACGATGGGTGGCATTCCTTGGCATATCTGTACATGGGAGGGTTAGCTGTTTTTGGTGTTAGCATTAGCGATTCTGACAGTGTGTATAATGTGCAAAGGGGAAAGGCTGGCTGATCGCGCTGCCTCGTGCCGCTGTGTGTTGTGATTCCCGCGGCGTACAGCCGGGGCCCGGGAGCCACGCCGGCGTGTGACGGATCATCCCAGGTGGTGGGCTGTCAGGACGAGGATCAAAGAGCAGAGGAGTGGACCTCACACACACACTAACACACACACTTACACATTTACACACACAGACACGTTCCCTGCACCTGTTTAAGAGTCAGCACACTCGCCGCTCACACACACAAAGCAGCAGAAAGCCAATAAGAGCGTGCATAATATTTTAATCGCACGTCAGCATGTGGGCTTTTTTATTTTATTTACAGAGAGACGTACCTATACGACAACCTTGAAAGAAAAAAGGTGCTGCAGACGAGCATGAATAAGCTCTTTCCATCAATCTGTGCGTCTCTTTTCTCGCAGCACAAACATTTACCTGAAGGCCGAGAGGGCTCTGAACGGGGAGTTACACTCTCTGCTTGTGCTGTTGAGGAGGGACACTCAAAAAACACACACCACAGATGCACACACACTCCCACAAAGGGGGAGAAAATCTATTAGACGCTGATCTGTGTGTGTGTGTGTGTAACAGAAAGAGTAAGAGTGAGGCAGACGGAGAGGACGTGGGAAAGGAGGGCAGAGACAAAAAAAGAGAGCGAGAGAAGAAGAAGAAGAAGAAGAGGGGAGGTGAGCGGAATAGAGAGCAGAGGAGGGAGATGCCTGTTCATAAATGCTTCATGGCTGCTGAAGGGGGCCTTTGACTGAGAGAAGACCCACGGCACCCCGCCTCTGTCAACACGTCTACCTCCTCCAACAACAGGTCGACCCCCGGGCTCAAGGCAGCAGGGCTGCAGAGGAGCTGGCGTGTTGAGGAGCAGCCTTTGTAAGTCTCTGGTATTGGTATTTCAGGTCGATAATGCGGCGTGGTACTGCAGCCCGTCGCCACAACTT